ATCCCTGGCTCCCAAGTAGCTAGAGTTTAGGTTTAGGGTTTAGGGTTAAGGGTTTAGCGTTCAGGGTTTAGGGTTCGGGTTTCGGGTTTCGGGTTTCGGGTTTAGGGTTTAGGGTTTAGGGTTCTTGAGATGCTACCATACTATGACAACCCCCCGGCAAGCCCACTCTAATACGGGGGGTTTCCGAAATTCGGGTACCCTTTTGGGGTGTCCCTTTAAGGGGATATTTTTTTTGACAAGTTTGGGAAACACCCATATTACAGTCCCTAGAGAAGTGTTGAGGGGTTATCGGTTTCAGAGTTGTCGTCGGTCTCCTCCTCAGGTGGGAATTTGCAACAACTAGGTGTGCGTGAGAATTAGGGTGTAGGGTTTAGCGTTTAGGGTTTAGGGCTTAGGGTTTAGGGTTTAGGGTTTAGGATTTAGGGCTTAGGGCTTAGGGCTTAGGGTTAGAGTAATTGGCGGGCACTCCTCCGGCGAAAAAATCAACCCTAACCCCCAAACCCCAAACCCCAAACCCCTAAACCCTATACCCTAGACCTAAACCCCAAACCCCCAACCCCTAAACCCTAAACCCTAAACCCCAAACCCTAAACCCTAAACCCTAAACCCTAAACCCTAAACCCTAAACCCTAAACCCTAAACCCTAAACCCTAAACCCTAAACCCTAAACCCTAAACCCGAACGAGGAGCCTGAATGTGCCGGAGTGCTCGGATGCTGGACGAATAGTGCAGCGGGAGCCCTCGATGGCCTCAATTGTGTCAAGCGGGCAGCCTTGACTCTATTTTTGGGTCGTGGGGGGTAGGGCGGGCAGGGTTTAGGGTGTAGGGTTCAGGGTTTAGGGTTTAGGGTTTAGGGTTTAGGGTTCAGGGTTCAGGGTTCAGGGTTTAGGGTTTAGGGCTAGGGTTTAGGGTTTGAGGACGTGTTGGTGTCATTACCAGGACTTCCCACAACGCTCCTGTGTCATGGGTTCCTTGTATTGCGAGAATGTACGTGTTCAGAGTTGCCAAATCACGATATAACCTACGGCAATTAAACTTGAGAATTTGCTGCTTGCGTTCTCGTTTCCATGGCTGCGCGAACCCAGGAACTGTTCTGCAGAACACGTGCTTCCTGCGACCATCATCAGGAGGGGACGAGTTCCATCCCTGGTTGCTTTGGAGAGCGCCATGTTCAAAGACTTCTCAGGGAAATCTCTGGGGACTCCGGTGGCATCGCAAAATCCAGCAGCAAGCCACGCAAAGAAGCCTGGGTCCTTGTTGGTTATCATGTTACATGGTTATCATTTTACTTCTTCACTTTAACAACTTCCCAATAAGGAAAAAGAATGATCATTTTTCATATAGCCCGAAACCCTGAACCCTAAACCCTAAACCCCAAACCCTAAGCCCTAAACCCTAAACCCTAAACCCCAAACCACCCCAACAAGGAAGCAGATGTCGGGGAGTCCTGCAGAACCCAGAGAACCGATTCTTGACGTGGACTCGGACGCGGGCAGGGTTATCCCCAGCCCCTGCTTGGCACAGCTCAACCAGCAGCTTAGGGATACTTGAAAACATGCTTTTTTCAATTATATGATTTCTTTGGGCACTTTAATTCCAAAGAAACAGCTAAAATAGGTAGTTTTTTGCTAGGAGCTAGAGTTGTAGTTTTTGCTAGGGTTCCAAGTTCAGTCAAGGCAGTCGCAAGTGAAGATCCTCAGGGCAGCAACTGGGGAGACAGAGATGCTCGGCGAATGCACCCTAGGTCTCCTTTCGCCTTTTCTCCAGTTCTTCATATGGGGTGGTTGTTAAAATTAGGGTCCCTTTTTGGGGTACCCTAAATATTCGGTGCCGTATTACAATAGGGATCCAAGCAGGGACCATCATTTTGACAACCGCCCATAGCCATATTCACTACTGTAGTCAACTACAATGCACACCTGTAGCTTCAAACCCTTCAAAGCGCGGAAGCTCCCACTGCCTAAACCCTAAACCCTAAACCCTAAACCCTAACCCCTAAACCCTAAGCCACTTGGCTGCCAGGATGTTCGACTCATGGGAGCACTCCATGATCCCCCTGCGTCCTCGGTGCCTCTTTGCGGCCGTGGTTTTGTCTTGCAGCCTACAGGACCGGACGTAAGGGTTGGGCCTAAACCCTAAACCCTAAACCCTAAACCCTAAACCCTAAACCCTAAACCCTAAACCCTAAACCCTAAACCCTAAACCCTAAACCCTAAACCCCGAGCTTGGGAGGTTCCCACACCCTTCCCACAAAGGGGGTACACCCGCCCAGGCAGGGGCAGCTCTCAAAAGAGGGGCTCCCCCACACGTAAAACCCTAAACCCGCGAATTCTTGGAACCCCCCTCGCTGCAGCGTTTCATTCGACCAGGATCAGGTTGCCTTGAACGTGGCAGGAACCAGAGAGCCCACTAGCCGATCAGGAAAATCAACCTCGCAGTAGGGACCCCTAGAATGGAGCTTGAGAGGTATTCCTAAACCCTAAACCCTAAACCCTACCCT